TATTTAACAGATCTTGCCAATTCACTTCATAAAAAACAACTAGTGTAAAGTTTGATATTTTTAGCATCAGAGTGGGATGGTATTGTAGTAATTCTCCCCACTAATTTCTTAATGTGCACATTTATTTATATTCTTACACTCATTCAAATTGTATAGAAATGTATCCTAATCTCAGATAAATAGTTGTCTTATTAAATTTATTATTTTAGGCTAAACATAGTAAACATTAAAGCAAGTGTATAGTGATAAAAATTTACTATTAGAATTTAATCTAAAATATTACTTGACAGTCTAAAATCAATTCTTAAAATATTCCCTTTGATGTTAAAATAATCCACACAATTGATTATATAATGTTTATTGAACATTTTCACAGGAATTCTTCCCTGGGCTTATACACATAGTCTATGTGATCCGACCAAATGGTTTTTTACAAAAAGCTATATCAGAAGTGAGCAATAAGTTCTTTAAAGAGGAATTTAAATTTAAAGTGGTTATATGCAGTGTCATTGAAGAGTTACATGATTATGTAGATAACACTGAACTTACTGTTGAGCTTAATGGTACTTTGCCGTATTTTCATCAGCATTGGATACAACAAAGAATGGTAATGTTTATGCATAAAAAAACTGAATTTTGTTAATATAAATTATAATTGAATATTTTGTAAATTAAATAAAAAAAAATTTTAAGGCTTTAGAAAATTTTTCAAATGAAACCAATGAGGTTTCTTCAATGCTAAATGAATTCACTGAACGTCTAGCAAATGACACAGTTGATTTGCCAGATACTAGAGAACAAGCTGCAGATCTTTTATGTCGTCATGCAGTTGAATATGGGAGATTGAAAAAATGTTTTTCTGAAGCTGTTAAAAAAGGTGAAACTTTGTTGAGTGATTTCAAACAAGACACTGATACATACCATGGTACAATACCATCAACAGTTACCAATGTTGCTGCATTGGAAAGGTAATTTAATTATATTTCATTTCCTACGATTTATGAATAGTGGTTAGTTATTATTATTATTATTATTATAATATTACTATTTTCTGAAAACAATAAATAAATAGATTCTTGTAACAAGTATTGAAAAAATAAAAAAAAAGTTAAAAGTGTATTAAATTATGTAGGACTTAAGTTTAATTTATAAACTAGTATGTTTCGTGTCTTAATGATAACACTCCATCTCATAAAGTTTTTCTATTAACTTTGTTATTTTTCTTGAATTTCTTTTGTTCCATTTTATAATTTGTTTCCAATTTAGTTATTGTCGTTAAGTTTTCTAAAAACTTTCTTTTCACTCTRCTTCTGTTATACAGTTTTTAAAATGTAATTTTATTTTTGTATTTGTTTCTCTTAAAATAAATTATCATCATTATTCATTCACTTAAAAACTATTTTGATATTCATTCTAAAATGTTTATATATGAACTCTTATATTTTTTTCTTACTTATCTTTCAAATACTAAAAGTATTTTATTTGATTATGCTAGTTGAGATTCAATTTTGATCATAATRTATTAAAGCACCTGTAGTAATATGCAGGTAACATAGATATATCTGAAACAAGACATTTCTTATTTGTTTTCAATTGTATTATTCTTGTGAAATTACTCTCATTTATGAATTGCTATAGGTAAATTATGCTAAATGGCATCCTTGAACAGAGTTAAAATAATGTAATTAGAATTTCTTCCATTAATATTTTTGTATTTTATGTAATGGCATTTAAAAATATATTAAATATTTTTTATAAATAAATTCTTGTCTTTCATTTTTTACTATTAAACTTGCTATTTCATAATTTGCTTACAACAATAATTAACTTAATTAATATTTAATACAATAAAATATTTTTACTCAAGATGATGTCAGCATACTATTTATTTTTTCTCTTTGATCTATTCACAGCATAGTGAATTTAAATTCACCAGAACTAATGTTGTGTTGTTAGTTTTGCACATATTATATAAAAATGAATCAAACTATTCAACCTATCATACAATTTAAAGTTCAAAACATTATCTATGATTTTAAGTTGGTTATTTTACAATATTTAAATTTGCATTTCAAATTGTAATATTTTATTTACTTGCCTATAATCTGCAAACAAATTTAAATATTGTAAAACAGCATAATATTATGTATAAACACATAATGTTCTTGACTTGATATTTTATAATAGATCAATCTATTCAGTGGAATGTATATATACAGTAGTCATTTGATAATTCGAAAAAACTCTGTAAATCGAACTAAACGCTAAGTTCCCTAAACAGCGCCGGATAGAGACTTTTCGGCCTACCAAGATTTTAAATTTCTACCGGCCCATTCRAGTAATTTTTTATTATCACTCTTTTAGTATGTGTGCTTTAAATAATAATTGTTTCTCTAAAGCACATTTACAAATTACCTATTCAATAGGTATATTACATTAAGTTACTTAGTATACTTCAGTTATATTATTTAAAAAAACGCAAAATATAAGATAGACAATATAGATAATATAAAATATAATATAGATCACCTGGATTTATGCAATTTGTAAACATTTCATTTTATACTCATCAGTCATCACTCATGAGTCATGGCYCAAGTATGAGTAGTATGACGATTTTTAATAAATTTTTTATAACTATAAGTTTAAAATTTGATTTTCTTTTATATATATAATATATTTATATAATTATATGACGTATATTGTATATATATAAAATACATTATATTATTATTTTAAATTATTCTAGTTTATATCAGTGTTTGATATAATACTGATCTTGAATTTTTTACGCGGCCCACCGAGATTTTCTCGGTATCTCGCCAGTTCAATCCAGGSCTGCTCCTGAAAAAACCTCTATAATTAAAAGAAAATACATATATATCGGTTAGGTTCTGGTCGCCTCACTAATTTGAAATATCTGTCAGTAGGACATACTCAACAATTCAAATTTTTATTCCACGAACCTTTATAATTCGAATCTCAGGATCTCTTTATCTTCTTTATATTTTTTTATTCGAAATTGAAATTATCAACTGTGTAATATAATACATATTTTTAATAGATTGTTGGTACAAATGGAAGAAACAGAAAAAGTGTTTGATGATTTTTGGGAACAGTTTTCTGGACGTTTAAAACAATGCCATTCATTGCGTGCATTTGAAGAAAATTTTAATATTGTTCAAGTATGTAATCATAATTTTAATTGTTGGGATCTTTATTTACGGATACTTTTTAGTTAAAAAACTAGTTTTTTTTATTCCTGTATAAATGTTGGTTACATTACAGACTTTTCTTCAATATACTTTGATGACCACTATTTGGAGGGGTTTATTAGATTAAATATAACTATATAAGTACAGCAAAACTTCTATATTGAATAAATGTGGTTCTCAAAAATGTATCTTTTAACAAGATATTTTGTTAATTAGGAGTTTGTTAATGGAAGTTTCACATGTATTATTAAATTTAAGAATTACTAATACCAAATTATTTGCAATTAATTGTGCCCTAATATTTATAATTATATTTAGAGTTCATTAAATGAAAACTTGAAAATTCTATCTGAAATGACTGATGTTGGTGATTCCGTTGAACGAGTTGAAGTATTACTTGAAGAGTTGGCCACATTTCAGAATTCAATTCATGTATGTATTTTATTTTTTACATTATAATCTGTTTCTTGAAAGAATATTTTACATACAATAAATCTGATGACCAATATTAGTTTTATAAACTTATATTATTATTTTACAACATTAAGGGCAGTTTTATATTAACATAATATACATAATATTTAACATATAAGATATAACATAATTCGACTTTGATAATATCAAATAACTAATTAAGTACAGTTAAGTACAGCAATACTAAGACTAAATAATTCGGATTAAAACTGATATGAGGCTCATTATTATTAGATCAGTGTATTATGCAGAGGATAGTAGGTTATGGGTTTTGACCATAAAAGTCGACTGAGGATAAATATGGAAAAGACTGTGGTTTCTGGAATTTTAAGAAGGGATACAACATTTTATAATCAAAAAAAATACCAAGTACATCCAATATGCCTTTTGGAAATGAAAAAATGTAATTGACATCAGAATCAGAACGACAAGATGATATTAGAGGTTATTGCTTTTCCACCAATAGGTATCAACATTATCAATAACAGATATTTTTGGCAAGTTACAACAAAATACTTTTAAATACTTTTTAATTTTTTATAAATTATGTATTATAATTATAAATTTATTTTTTTAATATTTATTAATTTGAACACTTTACATCGTCAAGTTTTAATTTTTACTCTCAAATATTCTTTTTTGAAACACAGTTAAAATTTTTAAATAATTTTTATCCTGACTTTGCTAATAAAATAATATTAATTTTAGGAAAAAATAAAGTTAAGTCAAGATTTACTAAATTGTGGTAGACAATTATTAGTTTCCAAACGATTTATTGTGTTGGAAAGTATTCAACCAAAATGTGATGAGGTTCAACGTCTCCTTCAAACATTAAATGATCGTTTGGAAAGACGGTTGCAGACTCTAAATAAAAGTTGCGAATTACAGGCTAGAATTCAAAAGGTATGTATTAAATTTAATAATAATTTATCGCATATTATTTTATACTTTAATTAGATGTATGTACACACATGCAGCATAACTGACTTCTATGAAAAACATAAAACAATCTATACCTTAAATATAAAATACTCACATATCAGATATAACTTAAACTTAATGGGTAGTCATATCTGAAAAAAAAAAATGCTTATAACAATGCTAAATTAAAAGAAAAAAATCATTGTTGAAAAACTAATATACGTTCCAAACCGCTATGATTCACATCTAAATTTTAATCAGATAATATATACACCTAAATCAATAAAATAATAACAATATTTTAAAGCTCTTATTATTTTTATTCAATTTATTTTAAAACATTCTTAATATTGATATTGAAAGTAATCAGTTCATTTTTCATACATAGGCTAGTGAATGGTGTGCTAAAGGTGTTATGATTTTGGGTTCAGAACCAGCTGACAAGTGTATTAGTGCTGAACAATCACTTGCAGAACTGGAAGAGTTCATGAGTAGTGCTCATCACTTGAAAGTAGAAAGTCCCAGAGAATTTTACTCATTATTTGAAGATACCATCACACCYGAAACTAAACCAATAGTTACACAAGTTCTTCAGAGACTTGATGATGTTACCACCATGTGCGACAAACGTTTGGCAAGTCTTAAGCGTTACATTAATAAACCACGGCCTATTCTATCTGTGAATCCTGAACCAGCCATTCCTATTAATTTAGCTAATATGACCAAGGTAAGTTAAATAAATATTTATAAGTTATATTTGTGCATTGTAAATTAGTGTTTCATTAATCATAATAATATTATTACTATTTTTTTTAATCCAAAGTTTTAACACTTTCAATGTTCTTGGTGAACTATTACATTCTTGTGTTGTATAACATTATCATTTTATCATTTGCCAGTTACTGTATTGTTTTAGGAAATACTGACTTGTATTATTTTAAACTGAAACAATTAGATCATACATAGATATCAAAATTTAAATTTAAATAATATATTTTATGTAGGGTACACAGGTTGCAGAACATAAATAATGTAGCAGTGAAAATGTTTAAAACAGTGGTTATTGATTTATGACTATACATTGTTGTTCTTAATATATCTTTATGTATCTTTGTATACTTATATAATGAATCCAATTAATTTTGATAGTAGTTAGTAATTACTAATTACTGGTTTCTTTTAGGAGATATACTGTTTTATTTATTGATTCAATTTGAGAAACTGTGATTTTATACATAGTTGGTTGAGTAAATTTTTCCATTTAATCCTGTTTGTATTAAATATATTCTGTTAAATATTTCTTCACTCTGTTTAATTATTACTTGAGTTCTATGACCTACTCCTACATGTAGAGGCTATTTTTAGTCATAATATTGTCAAAGGTAAGTTTAGTATCCTTAGTTCATAATATAATTAATACAATTTGGTAATTTTTAATGTTCAAGTTAGACCATGTGTTTTAGTTATTTAACTTAACTTTTGTTTCCGAAAATTTTGGTCTAAAAACCATTCATTTTACAATCAGGAACCACCTATGTGGGTGTGTAATGTGTTGTATTATGTTATACTGTTATTGAATTTGGTTATGTGTAATTGACAAATTAATATTATTTCAGATTTCAAATGGTGTAGATGAATGTGATAGAGGTATCCAAAATGAAGAAAATAATGCTACTAAAACAAAACATGTCCTCACTGAACTTTTGTACACAGAACGACAATATACTGCTGAATTAGGCTCTATACTCAGGGTGTGTTCAGAAATAATCAATATTTATTTGTATTTTTCTATATAAAATTAAATTTTTTTCAGGGATACAAAGATCAAATGGAGTTTTCAGATATGAAAAACTTAATACCTGTAATCTTAAAGGGTAAAAGTGAGATTCTTTTTGGAAACCTTGAAAGTATTCATAGCTTTCATAATCAATTTTTTTTACCGGCTCTTGAAAGTTGTTCATCAAGTATTGAATCTGTTGCTGTCTGTTTTACAGATAATGTAATAATTGTTTGATTATTCATTTTCATAATCATGTTTAATCATATATAATATTATTGTGTAACTTTTACATTATTGGTTTCAGAGGGAAAAACTTCTTCAGCTTTATACTTACTATTGTGTCAATCTAACTAGGTCTGAAGAATTAAGAGAAACAGTTGGTGAAGATAATCCTTTTTTCAAAGCATGTCAAGAAAAACTCGGACACCGTTTGCCACTTGGTGCATATTTGCTTTTACCTATGCAAAGGATTACCAAATATCAACTTTTATTAAAAGTGAATTTGATAAAATATCAGTCATTGTAAAATTATTTTAAATGTAATTTTATTAATTTTTAGGAACTATTGCATAATGAAAAAAATCAAAATTGCATTACCAAGTTACAAAAAGCTCTGGATTGTATGTTACTTGTTCTGAATAATGTAAATGACAACATGCATCAAATTGGCATAACTGGATTTAATGTAAGTTATAATTTGTCTTAATGAAATTAGAATTAAAACTACAATAATTAAATATTACAAGATGAAATATTTTTTACATATAGGGTGATTGGAATGATTTGGGTGGTTTACTTTTGCAAGGGTCATTCTCTATGTGGGTTGAAAACAAGAAAGATTTGTTGAAAGAATTAAGACTTAAGCCAATGAGGCGTCAAATTTTTCTATACCAACAGGGATTACTTTTATGTAAAAAGGTATCTAAAGATAATAAACCAATGTATCATTACAAAAAATATTTACGGGTGAGTTAATTTTTTTTTTTCATCTAACCTAGATTATAAATAGTTTCATTATGATATTCCTTTTTTTACAGATGTCACAGATAGGACTAACGGAAACTGTCAAAGGAGATTTATGTAAATTCGAAGTATGGTTAGAAGGGCGTCAGGAAGTTTACACAATTCAAGCATCAAATTTGCAGCAAAAGCAACAATGGGTGTCTGAAATTAAACGTGTATTGCTTGAGCAGTTAGCTGAATTGAAAGGAGAAAAAATCAAACAGTACATAAGTACTTTTGGAAAACATGTGTAAGTTTTTTGATTTATTTAAATACTATGTGTCTTCAAATCATTTTAATGCTATAAATGTGAACAGAAACTTACGTCAAACACATTCCTTGGATAACCAAAGTGAAACAGGATCTAATCGTAGTAGACGTCCACTAAGTCATCACGAAACAACTGATGATGATTCATCTGACTATAGCTTGACTGATGACGAATCCCTTGATGGGACAATCAAACAAAAAACAGTAAATTTATAGAAATCTTATATATTATCATTATAATTTTATTCTTATAACTTTTTTTCCAGGCTGATAGTTATATATCATTAGCGGACTATAATGCACTTCGACCAACAGACGCTACATTAAAGAGAGGCGATAAAGTAGATTTGTTAAAAGCTGGTTCGAGTAGTTGGTGGTATGTCAAAGTTCATGGTAAGTTTCATTCATTGTTGAGTGACAAATTAGTTTAMTTTTAAGTTTTAACTGAAATTATGATATACCATACAAATATTATTTTACACAGGTTCTAAAACAGAAGGCTGGGTCCCAGCCGCACATTTAGAGATYAGTGGTCGTAAGTCATCCCATAGTTCTCAATCTGTTTGCAGTCATGGATCTACATCCACAGAATAAGTCACCCTGTTTTTTTCTACTCAATAAGTATTTATATGTTTTACATAATTGTGATATTAAGTATTTAAATTGTTTATTATTATTTATTTAGTCTTAACAGGACTACCATTAATTATTAATATTTAAGTCCTATTTTCAAACATTTATAATTATAATATACTGGTGAGCATGTCATTTATTGTGGCATAAAATTATCGCGATCTTCCTTAGAGTTAGTTCAGGAAACATAAAAAAGCTTAAGGTATGCATTATTTGTACCAAAATTTAGGATATTAAAGACTGGCATTGAAGGTTTTAGGATCATAGTATGTAAATAGCGTATCCGAACTAGATTGTAACTTGATCTAGTGTAACATCCATGAATACTAAAACAATTCATTTTATATGGTAAATTCAATTCTGTAATGATAATATTTAGATCACTAGGTTGTATCCTAAGTGCTAACACCAATRTGAGCTTAGATGCTCCAATCATAATTTCAACCAGTACTTAATTAATTCAATGGTTCTGTGTTACATTATTCTGTCAATTTCATTTCATACAGCTTTAAAAATTATATTGTTTTAACTGTTAGTTTTTAATACCAAAATTAATTGAAAAACTAATGTGCTAGTGATTAATGATAATACAAATTAACAAAACTTTTGATACGTTTTTACTTTGCACTTAATTATTATTTTTATTTTGTAACAAATTTTGATACCTCTAGCTCTTGGGCATTATCCTGTTTTGGTTCCTCTAATTCCTCGCATATTTTTTTAACTTAAACATGCATTATATTGTTGTTTATATCAATAATGTTTAGAAATGTTATTTTTTTTAATTTGGCAATGTGATAGTTGAATTAATAAATATGATTTTGTATACATTGATTGACTACTTAAAACAATTTATAACTTTTCTTTTTCATTTATTTAATTTCTTTCACCAAATGTTAAAGTTTTCTTAGTGTTATGTGCTAATGTATAATGTGATATATGATAATCAAAACTTGAATCACATAATTTATAAAAATAGGTGAATTATTATCTTTGAAGGGTAATTAAATGGGGGATGTTCTCTGTTTTTACATTTTAATAATCAATTTGTATTTAAGATAATTATATAAAAAAAAACTAAAATACATGTTGACTAAATTTAAAATTGTTTAAAAAGTTATTTTAATATTTCTCCATGAAACTTGACTATACTAATCAGTGTTCAAAAGTGATTTTTTTTTGCCATTTTAATTTGATCTTAATTAATTTTTATTTTAAATTCTAGTCATTAATATACAAAAAAAGTTTCTCTGTCTGTGCACATTTGATTTATTATTGTTTGTCCATTATGGATCATATGTTTCGCAACGCTTGACTAAAATATGATCGAGATTTTATTCCACAGTTCCTAGATTACTTTTTTTAATAAAAATTTGGCGAGAACTTAAATGAAAATAAAATGCAATTTATTTATAATTTTCAAATGCGRCTTTAAGAAAATGTTACTGGTTAATTACTAGTCTTAGTTAATTGTTTTGACTGGTTTCCTGATGTGGTTCTCCATTTTATAATATAGTATTGTAAGTCACATTTTAATAATTATTATATTATATTTTTAGTTTATTTTTCCTACACATTTCTCACMTTAATTGATTATCATTATTACTATTACTTATTAATTATTATTATTATTAATTTGATTTTATAATTGTAATATAAAGGAAATGTTTTCCGAAAATTGGCAATTGTTTGTTTTTACTATGTGAACATTTTATAAGCTTGAGCACCCTTATTATTAATTGAATTTTAATCATATTTTATATGGCTTATTAAGTTGTTTTTATAATGTTTGAAATATGAAAAATGTTATCATTAAGCTATGGATAGATTTGTAGCCTTACATAACGTTGACTTAATTGTAATCTATTGTACCTATTAGTTATTAGTTATTACTTGGGCCGATGACTTGTAGCTTTAAAAAAATATCAAATATGCACTTAAATATACAAAATATGCATTTAAAAAAAAAAAAATTAGAATTTTTCTGTATGTTCCATTTATTTTATACATTTAATTTTAATTTTAAGTATAGCTTACAAGTTACAATAATTATTTTGGTTAATTTTATGGGTTTTCAGATACTTTTTATAACTATATCTACTCAAATAACCCAACAATYAATCTAATAAGCAATTCTCGAGGTGTGTTTCTATGAAAAATATGTGTCTGAGAAAAGTCAACAACCGTATAAATATTATGATCAATATTTAAAATAATTTTGAATTCAATGTTATTTTGGCCGCCAACAAAAATATCGATAAAATTATAAATTATTTAAAATATGCATTTATATGCAAAATAAAATTTCAAAACTAACTTCAGCAAAGCATGAAACGTATTTGTTTCGTAATCTGCTATTTTTGTGACTGTGCAAAAAAATATGCAAATACTACAAGTCTTCTGCCCTAGTTATTACTTAAATTGTCTAAATAAATCAGTTGTATGTAAAATGCTAAAATTTAAAGATTATTGAGAGCAGAAACAATGTCACTATTGTATTGTTCATGCAAAAGTTTGTTGAAATTAAACTGTTTCACTAGCTATGATTTTGTATGTGTATTTTTTTAATAAAATTATATATAAAATATATATATACTTTATGGTGGCCAAGCTGTGAACCATTGAAGATATTCCTCGTAGGTATCCTAGTTATCAATCAAAACAATTATTAATGTATTTGCATTATATTCTATGTTATATTTAATACATTTTTTAATTGTTGATTAACTTAAAAATTAATATTCCTGAATGATTTCAGTATTCAAAAAATAAAAATAAAAATGTTTATATACAGTGTTACAGACATACAGCCATGTAGATTATAAATGTTACAAAAATTAACCTAACTCTATTCCAAAAAAGAATAATTAACAGTATTTCAGTCTATTGACAATTGACCATTTTTAATTTGTTAACCTATTAACCAGTAATCTGGATCTACAAAACTTGATAATTGATCTGAGTTACCTTTGGATTCTATATAAGGAGGCCTACATAGAATGTATTCATTGGTCAACATGCATAAAAATTTGGTATTCTTTTTTAGAACAGAGTACTATGTTGAATAAATGTGTGATGGAAATATGGCATAAGTTAATTTCCATTTTAGATTCTGAACGAAGTGATGAATGTATTGATTTTACAATGATGTGTGTTTTTATTT